CTTACTAGGTTAGGGAAGTTCTCCTGGATAATATCCTGAAGAGTGTTTTCCAGCTTGGATTCATTCTCCCCGTCACATTCAGGTATACCTATCAAACGTAGATTAGGTCTTTTCACATAATCCCATATTTCTTGGAGGCTTTGTTCATTTCTTTTTACTCTTTTTTCTCTAATCTTGCCTTCTCATTTTATTTCATTGAATTGATCTTCAACCTCTGATATCCTTTCTTCTGCTTGGTCAATTCAGCTATTGAAACTTGTGTATGCTTCACAAAGTTCTCATGTTGTGTTTTTCAGCTCCATCAATTCATTTATGTTACTTTCTGAGCTGTTTATTCTCATTAGCATTTCCTCAAACTTTTTTTGAAAGTTCTTAGTTTCTTTGCATTGGGTTAGAACATGTTCTTTTAGTCCAGAGAAATTTGTTATTACCCACTTTCTGAAGCCTGTTTCTGTCAATTCATCAGACACATTCTCCATCCAGCCTTGTTCCCTTGCTGGTGAGGAACTATGATCCCTTGTAGGAGGAGAGTCATTCTCATTTTGGGTGTTTTCATCCTTTTTGCGCTGGTTTCTTCCCATCTTTGTGTATTTATTTACCTTTGGTCTTTGTAGTTGGTGGTTTTCAGATAGGGTGTCTGAGTGGATGTCCTGCTTGTTGATGATGAAGTTATTTCTTTCTGTTTCTTACTTTTCCTTCTAATAGTCACACCCCTTTGCTGTAGGACTGCTGGAGGTCCACTCCAGACTCTGCTTGCCTGCAGCTCACCTGCAGCAGCTGCAGAACAGTAAGGGTTGCTGCCAGTTTCTTATTTTGGTAGCTTTGTCCCAGAAGTATACCTGCCAGATGTCAGTTTAAGCTCTCCTTTATGAGGTTATTCCTTGGATATATGGGGGTCAGGGAGCTGCTTGAGGAGACAGTCTGTCCTTTACAGGAGCTCAAGTGCTGAGCTGTGAGCTCTGTTGTTCCATTCAGAGCTGCTGGGTGGGTGTGTTTAAGTCTGCCACAGCAAAACTCATAAATACCTTTTTTTCCCGGGTGCACTGTCCTGGGAAGGTAGGGCTTTATTTATAAGTTTCTGTCTTGCTGTTGCCTTTTTTCAGGAATACCGTGCCCAGTGAGGAGGCAGCCTAGTCACAGGCTGCCAGCAGAGGCATTGCTGAGCTCCTGTGGGATCCACCCAGCTGCCGTGTGAAATTCCCTGCCGTCCTGTTTATACGAGTATAGTTTGAACTGCCTCAGCAATGATAGCCTGCCTCTGTAATGGCGGACTGCCTCGGCAATGGTGGACTACCTCGGTAGTGTTGGACTGCCTCCGTAATGGCAGATGCCCCTCTACCACAGAGCTGGACCATCCCAGGTTCAGCTGTGCTTGCTGTGAAACTCTCAATCCAGAGTGTTTCAGATTGCTGGTCTTTGTGGGAGTGGGACCTGCCATGCCTGATCACCTGGCTCCCTGCCTCAGACCCTTTTTTTTTTTCAGTTGAACAGGAGACTCTGTCTCCCAGGTGTTCCCATCACTAGTTGAAATGGCGCCCGTATTTGTGTGAATTCTTGTGCCGATACCTGCTGTGCCAGTTGAAACAGCTGTGCTGGGGGCTCATGGCGCTTTTTCTCCCAGGAATCTCCCGGCCTGGCTCCATGTTTCAGTCCCCTTTTTTTCAGTTGAACAGGCGACTGTCTCCCAGGTGTTCCAGTTGCCAGTTGAAAAGGTGCCCAGATTTGTGTGAGATTTTCTGCAGAGACCTGCTGCACCTTCAGCCACACTGGAGGCACTTTTCCACCGAGGAATCTCCTGGCTTGGCTCCAGTTTTCTGTCCCCTTTTTATCACTTGAATAGGTGACTCTATCTCCCAGGCATTCCAGTCACCTGTTGAAAAGGTGCCTGGATTTGTGTGAGATTTTGTGTGGAGACCCACTGTGTCAGCTGAAACAGCTGCCCTGGAGACTCGTGTTGCTTTTTCACCCAGGAGTCTCCTGGCCTGGCTCCCTATCTCAGTCCCCTTTTTATCAGTTGAATGGGCAACTCTGTCTGCCAGGCACTCCAGTCGCCAGCTGAAATGGTGCCTGGACCCGTGAGAGTTTTTTGTGTGGAGACTTGCCACACTGGCCGAAACAGCCACGCTGGAGACCCATGGCGCTCCTCCACCTGGGAATCTCCTGGTCTGAGGGCAATAAAAATCCATCTGGAAATTTGATGGCCACTCACCCTCTGCGCTCTCACTGGGAGCTGCAATCCAGAGCTGCACCTACTCATCCATCATGGACCACTCCCTCCCTTGCCCTGCTTCTTAACAACATCTTATTCATCTGTGTATCTAGCACCAAGTGCTGTACACATAGTAGGTACTTGGTGCTAGATATTTAGAATTTACTGTAATACCTAAAACTCAAGGCATTTTTGTTGAGAAAGGAGTAAATGAATGGGAAGGCAAATTTACATAATGATTATAAGAACCCAAGACCTGAGTTTGAGTCTTCCTTCCTCTTTTACTATGTGAATCTATAAATTTTAGTCTTTTTTATTTGCTTAGTAAAAAAGCAGATTACAATAGCAATCACCACCAAGGGCTATCATGATGATGAAATGATGGCATGTATGTAAAGTAGTTAACAGTGTGCCTGGCACATTTAAAATGCTCAATAAATTTAAGTTAATGCTTTTATTATCATTATATATATATAGAGAGAGAGAGAGAGAGAGAGAGAGAATGCTTTGAGCTTTGAAGACTTTCTCACTACTTAGTGATATCCAATTAAAAGAATTTACTGTAATACCTAAAACTCAGTAAATTTACTGCGTGCTTCAAGCCATAAAAACTGAAATGTTACATTAAAACTTTGTTATGCACTGAAAGATTTCATCATATCAATGATCTTCATGCTCCAGAAAAGATCATATAAACCACGCCTTTGATTTTCCTTTTCTAAGCAGGGAATGCTGAATGTAGAATAAATGTTCAGTTTATCCCTTCCTTCCTTAACAAAAGATTAGCCAACTTTTCTAAAGAATTGAACAGTGCCAGGCCTTTCCAAAACACTCTCCTTATTGCAAAATTGTTCCAAGTACTTTCTAAAAGCTTCTAGTTAGCCTTAAAAGAAGAAAACATATATACAGCACCCTGAATAACAGTGCTAGTTATTGCAACTTGGAAATTTCTTTCCTTAGGTTCAGCAATAAGCAAGAACCAATGTGAAACATTTCACATTTGAAAGGGCAGTTCTAGAGTGGCATGATGGCTTCATTCTTTGGTTTACTAGATAAATGATAAGTGTAGTGGCCAATGAAGCCCTGAGCATTTCTAACCCTTGCCTCAATGCTTTCCTCTAGAAAACTTGTCAAGTGGGGCCACTGTTAAACCCTGAAGGTCATAGGGCTGTCTACTAAACAATTCTTAATATCCTGTAGTTGACTGGAAACTTCCAAAAAAACATATAAACTCAAGCCAGCATAATTTAATCAAGTGATAAGAGTGACAGGAGATAAAATCAGAGGAATGGTCAGGAGCATCATCAGGTAGGGCAAGCTGATAAAAAGATTAAATGATTTTTTTAATCCATAGATTTTTTTGAAAATTGAGATAAAATATGCACCTTATATACAGTGACATACATAGATGTTAGACATTCTGTTTGATTATCTTAACAGACATATATACCCATGTACTAACCATCCCAATGAAGATATAAAACATGTTCAACACTCCAAAGTGTTCCCTCATGCCCTTGTTCAACAATACCCATACCCATAGAAATAAATGTTTTGCCTACTATCACCATTAATTCGTTATGTCTGATTTTGAGCTTTGAAGAAATGGAATCATACACTGTTAACAGGGTGTACTATTTTGTATCTTGCTTCTCTCTCTCAACATACTGGTTTGGAGATTTATCTCTATTGTTGTATGCATCAATAACTTGTTCCCTAGTATTGCTTAGTATTATTTCATTGTATGAAGGTACCATGAATTGTTTACCAAATCTCCTGTTGAAGGACATTTGAATTGTTTCCAGTTTGATGTTGATATAAATAGAACTGCCAGAAATATTGTAAAAGTGTCTGTGAGGACATGTTTTCATTTCCCTTGGATAAATATTAAAAAGTGAAATTTCTGGGTAATAGGGTAGATGTAGGATTACATTTATAAGAAATTGCATTTTACAGAGTGCTTGTTCCATTTTATACTCCCACCAAAAACGTATGAGAGTTTCTTACTAATATTTCATTTTGTCTTATTAATAATTTTATTTTGTCCATCTTTTAAATTTTAGTCATTCTAGTGTATTTGAAGTAATATTTCATTGTGCTTTTTAATTTTCATTCCCTGAATATTAATAATAATAAATGACTTTCAGTGAACTTATTAAATATGTAAAATAACTATTCAAGATTTTTGTCCATTTTTATTGGGCTATTTGTTGTCCATCATTAATATGTAGTTATTTGTATATTCTAGATGCATATTCTTTTTTAATATAATGTGGTGTCTTTTGTAAGCAGCTTTATTGAGGTATAATTGGCAAACAATATACTATACATATTTGCTATATACAAGTTGATACATTGGAAGCATGTATGCCCTCATGATACCTTAATGAAAACATAATGAATACATCCATCACCAAAATATGCCTCTCATGAACTTCACTCAATTCCTAGGCAATCACTATTGATTTGCTTTCAGTCGCTACCAGATTAGTTTGATTTTTAACAACTTTATGTAAATGGAATAATACAGCATATAGTAATTTGTGTCAGGAATCTATTACCCAATATAATTAGATATTCACATATAATATTGTATATATCATTTGTTCAGGTTTTGTTGGTGAGTAGAATTTCATTGCATTAATATACTACAAAGTGTTTATATATTCATATGTTGATGGACATTAGGTTATTCTTAGTTTTCTGTCATTACAAATAAAGCCACTGTACCCATTTATCAACAAGTATTTTGGTTTCCTTAACTTTTATTTTAAGTTCAGGTGCAGGTTTGTTATACAGGTGAACTCATGTCATGCGGGGTTTGTTGTACAGATTATTTCAGCACCCAAGTGTTACACCTAGTACCCATTAGTTATTTTTCCTGATCCTTTCCCTCCTCCTGCCATCCATCCTCAGGTAGAGCCCAATAATTATTGCTTATTTCTATGTGTCCAGGAGTTCTCATTATTTAGCTTCTTCTTATACATGAGAATGTGCAGTATTTGGTTTTCTGATCCTGTATTAGTTTGCTAAAGATGATGGCCTCCAGCTCCATCAGTGTTCCTGCAAAGGACATGATCTCCTTCTCTTTCATGGCTGCATTGTATTTCATAATATGTAATACATACTACATTTTCTATATCCATTCTACAACTGATGGGAATTTGGGTACATGAATCCATGTATTTGCTATTGTGAATAGTGCTACAATGAAAATACACGTGCATGTCTCTTTACACTAGAACAATTTATATTCCTTTGGGTATGTATCCACTAATGAGATAGTTGTTTTTAGCTCTTTGAGGAATTGTTATATTGCTTTCCACATGATTGAACTGATTTAAACTCTCACCAACAGTGTATAAATGTTCCTTTTTCTCCACAAACTCATCAGCATCTGCTATTTTTTTCTTTTACTTTTTAGTAATAGTCATTTTTAATGGTGTGAGATGGTATCTCACTGTGGTTTTGATTTGCATTTCTCTAATGATCAATAATATTGAGCTTTTTTCATATGCTTGTCAGATGCATGTATGTCCTCTTCTGAAAAGTGTTTGTTCATATCCTTTGCCTACATTTCAAAGTGGTTGTTTGTTTATTGTAAATTTGTTTAAGTTCCTTCTAAATGCTGGATGTTAGACCTTTGTCAGATGTATAGCTTGCAAACATTTTCTCCCATTCTGTAGGTTGTCTGTTTACTCTTTTGATAGTTTCTTTAGCTGAGCTGAAGCCCTGTAGTTTAATCAGATCACATTTGTCACTTTTTGTTTCTGTTGCAATTGCTTTTGGCATTGCCATCATAAAATTGCCCATTCTTATGTCCAGAATGGTATTGCCTAGGTTGGCTTCCAGGGTTTTTACAGTTTTAGGTTTTACATTTAAGTCTTTAATCCATCTTGAGTTAATTTTTGTATATGGTGTAAAAAAGGGTCCAGTTTCAGTCTTCTGTATATGGCTAGCCAGTTATCCTGGCACCATTTATTCAAGAGGGAATCCTTTCCCCATTGCTTGTTTTTGTCAGCTTTGTCAAAGATCAGATGGTTGCAGATGTGCAGCCTTATTTCTGGGCTCTATTCTGTTCCACTGCTCTATGTATCTGTTTTTGTATGAGTAACATGCTGTTTGGGTTACTGTGGCCCTATATCAAAGAATGAAGTTGGGCAACGTGATGCTTTCAGCTTTGTTCTTTTTGCTTAGGATTGTCTCGGTTACTCAGGCTCTTTTTTGGTTCTATACGAATTTAAAAATTTTTTTTTTCTGTGAAGAATCTCAATGGAGTTTAATAGGAATAGCATTGAATCTACAAGTTCTTTTGGGTAGTATGGTTATTTTAATAATATTGATGCTTCGTATCCATGAGCATGGAATGTTTTTCCATTTGTTTGTGTCATCCCAATTTCTTTGAGCAGTGGTTTATAGTTTCATTGCAGAGTCTGTCACCTCCCTAGTTAGCTGTATTCCTAGGTATTTAATTCTTTTTGTGGCAATTGTGAATGAGGGTTCATTTCTGATTTGGCTCTAGCTTGACTGTTGTTGGTATATAAGAACACTAATGATTTTTGTGAATTGATTTTGTATCCCAAGATTTTGCTCAAGTTGTTTATTGGTTGATGGAGCATTTAGGTTGAGACAATGGGGTTTTCTAGATATAGGATCATGTCACCAGCAAATAGGAATAGTTTGAATTCCTCTCTTTCTATTTGGATGCCCTCTTTTTCTTTCTTTTGCCTGATTGCCCTGGCCAGGACCCCCAATACTATGTTGAATAGGAGTAGTGGGAGAGGGCATACTTGTCTTGTGCCAGTTTTCAAGGGGAATGCTTCTAGCTTTTGCTCCTTTAGTATAATGTTGGCTGTAGGTTTGTCATAAATGGCACTTATTATTTTGAGGTATACCTAGTTTACTTGGTATACTTCAATACCTAGTTTATTGAGAGTTTTTAACAT